TTTTCCTCCATCATCAGATCATATTTCTCACGCGTTTATTCGGCAGCGGGAATCAAACTTGTTTTCATGTATTAAAATTTGGATAAGATGATTCATAAATGAGCGCGAATCCGACAAAAATAATAAAACATAATAAAATAAAAAATACTTTAAAATAATAATAAATAAAAAATCATGTGCATACTTAAAAATATCACGAACGAGTCCGTCTTTCCATTATATCAGCAATAAAACAAAATAGAAATTATACTTATCTCACACACACATTGTGTTTATAATAATATTTATAATAGCTAAAATCCAATTGTTATAATAATAATTGTACTTTTGAAATGCACGTCACAAAACAAACAGTGATTATAATATTTATAATAATTGTGTAATTGTAGCCTAATAATTATAATTATACGTAGTAATACACATTTAAATTGTGTATTTATATTTCTGGCCACGAAACAATATTGTGGGAAAAAAATGCAAGAAACGAATTTAGAATAATTTGACGCGAAACAATATTATCCCGTGAAATATATTTGATTAAAAGAAAGGTTTGCTATATAGCCTACACAAGCATGGGTGTAATGTAATATTTCATTTCATTCAAAATAACTAGAAAATAATGCACTGAAAACAATCGCGTACCTCTGGAAATCACGCGACATTTAGCGGCATATTTGTCCATTTCATCTCGAAGTGTTTGACTCTTTAATATCTCAAAACGTGCGCAGATTTCAGAAACGATTTGCTAGAGACCCGTGTTAAACATTTACAATCGAATGAATTGAATTAATACACGGAAATATATTAATAAAGCATAGCCTAATATTTATAGACCAACAAATATTTTAACGAAATATTGTAGTAGGCTACTTTTCACCTGCCCTTCTAAAGCCATCAGCTGACATCGTTATTGATATTTAAGCAACTCTCAAATCAATAAGTCGATTTAAAGAGGACATCATGTCTCATTAGAGCTCAAAAAGAATATCAGCGGATCTGTTTAAAAAAGAACGTAAATATTTCGAATGTAAAATTTTCTACATTAGCTATATATTCTAAACGAATTCGATTTTTTTTAAATCTTCTGGAACTGAATTTTATTCTTGTATTTGCACAAAGACTACTAAACATTTTTTAGGTTAAGTTCAAATAAATTCACTCGACCACAATATTTGCACAGTAATTACACGCAACGGTTTCAAACTTTCTAAAATTCCATGCAATTATAAGAAATATAACGCGATTATTGCTGCTGCTGTTCGTTCGTTAAAGCGGTTATTCAGATGATGCGGTTCAGATCATGCAAACCTTTCAATGACTTTAGTGCTCATATTGGCCTTATGCCAACGGAATAGTTGACAATTAGTCATTTTATTGCAACATTTTAATTGAGAGACAAACAATTAAATAATAGCATAGTCTATGCAACTTCAGAATTAAATAATGTGGCCCACAGTAAAAAAAAACTCAAGATAAACTTTTCATTAGGCCTATGTTTGTTTGTACACAATCTCATTCTTTGTTTCGATACATACTGTTTTATTCCCTACTACATTTGCATTCAAAGTTAAAGTCTAAACACATTTTATAATAACTGAATATTTACAGTCTGGTCTAGAGAAATATTCACATTTTATCAAAATGAAGCGATTCGAAATCTAATCATTAGCACGTAAACTGAGTTCTGGGTTTGCCACAGTGCAGCAAAGGTTGAAAAACAGTTCGCCTCCCATCCCATCACAAACCTCTCGAGTGTCTTTGCACGTGTGTGAGAGAATATAGAGATGTTCTTTGTCCTCCTCCCGTCATTCTGCTCTTATAAGTGCGGCGTGTAAAACGTGGGCGCGCCGTAAGTCTGCGAGCCCAGCATGAAGGGCGACAGAACCGCGTGACCCGGCAGGAACGGCAACTGCGCCGTGCACACGAGTCCTCCGGGCGCGTGGCCCGGGTAGCCGGAGTGCATGGACAGGTGCGCGCTCATGGGAGGGGACGGGCTCAGGGGACTCAGGGACCCGTTCGGCCCTGCTCCGCTCCCGCCGGTCGGCGCGCTGGTGTCTGCGCCCGGGTTCTGCTTCTTCCACTTGGTCCGGCGGTTCTGAAACCATATTTTGACCTGCGTCTCCGTCAGGCTCAGGGACAGCGCCAGGTTCAGGCGCTCGCACACGGACAGGTATCGCGTCGACTTGAACTTGTTCTCCAGAGCCACCAGCTGCTCGTACGTGAACGCGGTCCGGGCTCTCCTGGGTTTGCCCGACTTCGAGTCCGAACCGGAGCGCTTCCGTTTGGGCTTCGCCGAGTGACTCTGTCCGTTTGTTGAGGACTGTTGTTGCGACTGCTGTCCGTCCGGGCTCTTGCTGACGGGGTCGTCGTCCTCGTGCTGGCCGAACTCGGTGTCGTTGTTCCCGGTGAGCGCGCTCTCCTCGCTGCACAGCTCTCCGTCAGACTCGCGCTCTTCTGACCGGAACACGAACCCGTCCTCTGGGGAACACACCAAAACACCCGTCAGACACCATCACACACATTCACTGACACTGATGTGTCTCCACCAACAGGTTCCCCGAATTTCGATTAATTATTACGGGGAAGGGGAAAAAAGGCATTTTAGTAAGTGGCTATAAATGTTATTAATAATTTAGCATTTTTTTCCTTACACTAATAATTGCGGGGTTTTTTTTTTTCCTCAGTGAAGCGATTTTTGTTTCGGAAAAGAATCTTTAAGTGATCAGTTCTTAAAAATAACATTTTTTTTTGGTGCGAAAAACCTTTTAATAATCTAAATAACCATTTTTCCACTTTAAAGAGTCCACTGATGTTAAATGTTCTCTGGAACCATCGATGCCAATAAAGAACCTTTATTTTTAAGTGTATAAATAAACATTCTAAAATAGAATCTTTCATTTTGTCGTTTAATGTACTATTTAAAATATCGAGTTAACGCAACATATTTTATTCCGAATTAAACTGTAGCACAGATGCGGGATTTAAATAATTATGCTAAAGCATTACTAGTTTAAAAAACACACACAATGATTTAAAAAAAAAATGATAGCCTATTAAGCTGATATTTCTGTGTGAGCGCGTTTCGTCTTGTTTATGAAGTGACTGAATAGATGCCACTTCCTTTGGCGTGTCAATTCGTCTTGACATCTTAAATCACAACTAATCGATAACTCTCAATTTACTCGACCATTTAAAGCGGCTGTTAAAAACAGCACAAACCTTATCAAATTATTGCAGCCCACAATTACTGTTCATTGAGAATTGCTTTCGCGCGCGGCCTCCAATCAATCATCGAGGTTGACACATATTTGTCCTTGCAAACACAGGCACAGAAGATAAGATGATCCTCACGAAGACTGCGCGTTCTGCTCTCGCCATTTAGACTCGAGACAAAGCGCTAACATATCTAAAGAAAAAACAATTAAAGCCATTCGATTGCGCTTAATTTAAGGCAGGTCCGCGTAAAGACGCGGATAATGGGGAGGATCTGGTCGATATCCTATTATAGAAATGAGTATATCTCTTTCAGGCAGCTTGCAAACTCTCTCTCAACATCTAAATTATAGAGTTAAATTTCGGATAATTACAAGATTAAAGCCTATTATACTTATTAAGGGTGATATCGATCATTGGTCCCTAAAAAACCCTAAAAAGTGCAGTCCTGAATACAAGACTCGTCAGAGGGGTTGTTTTAATATAGTTTACTGTGAAGTTTCCCTGACACACACACACACACACACAAGTGAAAGTTTCCACCAGTCTCAAGAAAAAAAACGAATTCTATTAAACCTTTCTTTCAGTCACTTCACAACAGCCACTCAATCAGACACCTGAGAGACTTTAATAAAGATTGTAATTACTCCAAAACTAGTGTAATTAATTCTGTAAATAAACTTCAGACCTCCAGGTGAAGAAGAAGACGGTTGAATAATAATAATAATAATAATAGTAATAATAATACATTTAATTTTTATAGCGCTTTTAGACACTCAAAGATGCTTAACACTTTACATGCAATTCAAGAGAGGTGAATTTGATGAAGAATTAAAAAAAAAAGTCTGTTAATGGGAAAAAGCAAGTTCAAAGAGGTGAGTTTTGGAGGCCAAGTCGCATTTGTTAACAATAAAGAAATAATTTTATCAACCGTAGATTTTTTTATAAACACAAAACGTGTCTGAATAATGGAACTTTCAAGCAGACATTAACAATGTTTTTATTTTATGTCCTAAATAATTATGAGAATGCATGAAATATTTGCACGTTAATAAATTCATTTGACTCACCACAGGATAATTCAAGCAAAAAGTGTGTTACAACGCTTACACATTTTGCATTACAATTTTTAATAAATGATTCCGATAATTTTAACCTAAATATTCTTGGGGAAAAACGAATATCCATGTTATTAGGCTACTTTAACGCGTTCATAATATTGAACACACACAATAGCTAATAAGGGGGATAACCATGGTCACTTACTCAAAATCCCTGCAGTTTTTTTACAGTCGTAGTCCTCCTGATAAGACTTGTGCTCGATCGTGTGATTTGAGTCGTCGCTTCTGTTCTCCGCTCCAAACATGAACTCACAACCTGTCCTGTTAGGCGCTTGCCTCTTACTAGTAAATTTATTGGGGTCCAAAATGTCCAGAACGGAGAAGGACGTGGTCCGGTGTATGGTCGGCGGCGCGCCCGCGGGCTCGTGCTCGTGCTCGTGCTCGTGTCTCGGCGAGGTGTCTCTGCTGTCCGCCGGTAACGCGTCTCTCCCCGCGGCGCAGTGAAACACCGGCAGCGCGTCGTCCATGCCGTCCTGCGGGAGCACGATGACTCCGGTGGGGTCGCCGGTCTTCTCCTTCTCCCGGTTCATATCGCTCCAGCTCGCGCTCTCCCGCTGTTTACTCTACACGAGACATGCTGCTGAAACACGTCTGTAAGATGCTGATCCAGCTGGAGATGATGATGATGATGATGTCCCCCTGCTCAGGTCCTTTTTGGGTTTGAACCGTCCCCCCAGGACACCCCGCGTTTAAGTCACACACACACACACACACGCGCGCGCGCGCGCGCGCAGCTGGCTCCCCTCCCCTTCACACTGCTCTGATCATCGCCAAAACTTAGACACAAGCCGTGCTTTATTTATGCATTCATATTCCACTGTGAGTGGTAATTGGCTACAAATTAATCCCATGCCTCTAATAGCCTATTATCTCCGTCTGGAGTGTGTGAGGAGTGTGAGGAGAGTGAGCGATGATGTGGCCCCTGATATACACAGCTGTCAGCGAGAGCACTGGACTGGAAACACACTAAATAGGCTTATTTTTCCCTACTTTCTCCCTCCCATCTCCCGCACTGCACGGCTTTAGGTTAGCAGGAGAATCATTGTTTCCAGAGAAATTAACGAGAGAACGGGACACTTCAAAGCAGCGAGTCTTTATAATGTGATCACAAAAATACACACTAATATTTATATATATATATATATATATATATATATATATATATATATATGGGCAATATATGAATATCCCATATTTATATTAGTGTGTATTTTATTTTATAAACTATTTATATATTATTTTATATTATATATAAATATATTATATGTGTATTAGGCCTATACATGCATTATGTTTCAATCACAGTCTATCATCACCCTAAGAGTAAATTTAAACTTTGATTATCTTCTATATTAGTTTAAATAAAGCACAGTAAGTTTCTGAACTTATCAACCTCGAGTAACGGTGTAGTTGACATGAAGACCCCACAGAAGGGAATTGTCTGCTTCAGATCGCGGCATGAGAAGTCAGTTCCTCGCAATCACTCAATGCTCCTGTAGAAGCAACTCATTAAGAGTTGCACAAAATAATAGGTAAAACGATCAGCTGTGAGGATGAAGATGATTATCCCCCGTCATCATGAAGAGATGCAGCATCAGGGCATATTCTACTTTTAATCTGATCTTTCCAGGGGCCAAAAAAAGCGTTTCTCAACTGCAGGCTAAATTACACATACATATACAGACTATATCCCAATGCATTTTCAATATGCTAATTAAATAACGCAGATTTTACAGTGTTTGCAGCTTCACACAGAACGCGTTGTCCATTATAATACACAAACACGAGCTACGGACGTCTTCAACTCGCGCATGCGCTCTCCAAACGCGACGCTGAAGTTAAAATAAGTTCAACTTTATAAAAGACGCGTAATAGCCCATGTATATCCATGAACACTCATCATGTGTTTGTTCTGCCAGCTGATTGGCCGAGATCCGCTTATAATTAAAACAATCCCTCCCAGCAGCCCGTTGCATGATTTTTGCAATTTAATCAAATTATGCATGATAATTTGCATGCAAATTGTCCCATCCACATCGAACCAAGTTCCTCAGTGCTGCATAAGGAAAATCACCATAATAACATATTCATTATTGACAATTAAATAACAAGAGACATGTCAGAACAAATCAGCTACATATTCCAGATCATTTGACCGATTAAACACTCTCCGGTTTCTGTTTTAAACGCATCAGCTAAAAATAATGAAACCACAAAATCTTTTCAGAAACGGATCATTTATATAACGCAAATATTGCAGATGAAAAAGGCTGTTTTAGGGCACTAAATGATGTTATTTTCAGCTCTTGTTCTTCTGGCTCAACACATGCACATTCTTTGTGCAGTCTTCACAGTATATAAATATTCCAGTGCTCTTGGAGAAAGACAGCTTTAGTCAACGCGTCAGAAGCAATCTAATGATTTTAAATGAGCACAGAGCAGTAAAAGCCTGACAATTCTCCATCACAACAGCAGATGATGGTTAAAACGACTTGAAATCAATATTCTGACCGGGTGTCTCCCACTGATAAGAGCTGCCAAGACAATGTTGACTATTAAACTCGACAGCTTGAGATATTACACTATTACTTATGCTATTTTTAATAATCTGTAATATTTGGGCTATAATTAATTAATTCTATGGATCAGATGGTATCTCGGTGTGGGATGAGGTCGAAGGAGTCTATTAAGACTGGTAATGAGAAGGAGAATTTCAATCTCAATCTTGTGAACGCGCACGAGACGAGGAAAAAGAACAACCGCGCGGGCTTTATGGATTATGATACATTTGTGTTGTTATATTCAGGAAATATGTTTGGGGCAAAAAAAAATGTCATTACGGTTGAGGTGTTGTTCGTGATAATTTAATTTTTTATGCATTATTTCATAATGTTCTGTATTAGATTTTATTGTGGGAATCTGATAAAAGCCACCAGAAGAAATAGGCTCTATGATTTCTACACTTCTTCTAAAATCTCGATGTTAGTGCGCAGATACAGAGACATCTGCCCCATGAAGCAAGCAGTGTTGAGTCTGGCCAGAGGAGGGCGCACTTCTCTTCACTGAAGCTTCACATGAATCACAACTAACAGTTCTGGAGTGGGGAAAAAAGACGAAAGCACGACTAACGAAAAGTCTTGTTCTGCTTTAGACATTCTAATAACCAGGGTATGAAATGAACTTTTTCCACTCACCGGCCAATATATAGTTGGTTAAATGCTTTTTAATCTTCGCAATTGTTTCAATGCAAATGAACCGTTATTTGTTGCCTGACGTGCATGTTCAAGTAGTTTAAGCCAATCAGACTCTGCATAATAAGCTGTATTTAATATTTCATGATGACTCACGAGTTGAGTATTTGAGATTGATCTGAACAGATTTGGCTTACACAAACTTCCTCAGCAAAGTGAGTAAGGAGCCCGTTGCTGAAACCACATCTGCCTAGCTCGACGTGTTCGAGTTCAACCCGCCTAATTTGCCAGTGATTTGTCACCATTACACACCACTTCAATATAAATACATACTGTATGTAGCCCAGTGGTAAACTTGGGTATTATAGTGCACTGGGAGTCGGTGGGTTATTATGAATCTCTCTTACTCTCAAAAGTGAATTTAAAAAAAAGTAAACGATTATTTACTTGAAAAATAATAATGAGACACCTGACTTCTAAATAAGCAAATATCAGTTAATTTTACGTAATTAAAAGGAGAGTGATATTTGGTAATTTTATTTTGTGACAGTAATTAAAACAAAAGTTTATATTATTTAGTTAAACAATATTTGGCAGATGTTTTAGGCCGTTTAACTTTTTATTACTTTATTTTTTTTACTGTTTTTATGTTACTAATTGTATTGGTAATTTGAGTGTATTTGAGTATTCAATTTGAGTATTCACGCTGTATAGCCAATAGTGTTTGGCGGAAGAGATGCACGTGACCTGGTGAGAGAAAGTGCTGGAAGTTTAGTTTTTTTTCCCGCGCTTCCAACTGTACCCGAGCACGAGACGCAGGCACGGGAGAAGAAAAAATAAGACGCTAAGAAGTGCGGGTAACTCATGAATCGGGAGGACCGCGAATCAGAGAAGTGGACCGCGGGCTCGAGATGTTTGTGAACCGAGAGACAGAGTTGAAGACCCGTTTGACGGAGCGCGAGAGACAGAGCACGAGCTGTAATCTGAGGTAGGTTTAGTCGAGATCGCTAGCCACCGTGGTGTTTTGCTGGGCGGAACTGACGGTTAATCGCACCGTACATGAACAGCTGGACCGAAGTTTTCGACGCTTTCAATGTTTTTCCAAGTGTTTGTTCACCGCACTCAATGTTTTGCGAGACCCAAACAGGCCTGCAACATGTTTTTTCCCTGTTCAGTAAAACGGGACCGTGAGTAAACTGAAACCCGTGTGAATGTGTGTGTGAGTGGGCCCACCACTACATTTGCTATCTGTTTTAGGACACTTGACGATTGTTTTGTTTATTTTAAAGCTTTCTGTGTATTTTCCCTTGTGGAAAGAGATTTAGTCCAAACTTTTATACCACTTATATTGTCTCAAACATGTGAGTGAAACTAGTGTAGCTAGCTAAATAGCTTAAAGGCAGTGTTGGGGAAGCTACTCTGAAACTGTAGTTTGACAAGCTACAAGCTACTCGTACGTTGAAGTAGTTAAACTACAGTCAAGCTACCCTTTTGGAAAAGTAGTTAGCTACACTACAAGTTACTATCAAAAAGTAGCTACATTGAAACTACTTTTACTTTTTGAACAAAATATTATAAATATTATATTACCTATTATTATTATAAGATGTTATAAATTATATATTATAAATAACTGAATAAGTGTCTGATGAATGTTTTAATTCAAATTTTTAGTGTTTAAAACAATGCAATACAATTGATTTCATAGAGTATTGTTTTATTACACACAACACTCAAATATCTCCGACTGTTTGTCAAAAGTGCAAAATTGCAACAAATAGCCTACAACATTGCAAGAACGAAATATACATTCAACATAAATTGCATTTAGAACATTTTCTCAAAAATAACGATTGAACTTGGACAAATAAGACCATGGGTAATTAACGTTTGTTTCTCCATCCTCAAAATCTGCCATCACCTGGGTGTGTCACTGTCAACCCACTTCTTTACGTCAGTGAACCGTTAGCCGCAAGATGCGTGATTAAACAACAGGTGGCGGTAATGGCAAAAAATGAGTTTGTAATCTAACAAGATGAAGAATATCCTTGCATCGGGCTGATTCGCGCAGGCTCGACAATGTAGCAATGTAGCTTTTGCTCGAGCTACACCGCTACTTGCTGCAAAAAGTAGTTAGCTACTGGAAAAGCTACACTGTTTAAAAAGCAACTGAGCTACTGCCAAGCTACTGAAAAATGTAGTTAAGTTTGTAGCGTCGCTACTTGTAGTTAACTACTCCCCAACACTGCTTAAAGGGGCTATTATTCAAGTGTTCAGAGAATATTTTGGTCATTTATTTTGTTTATGGGGTAATATTGAGATAAGGGAAAAGCTTTTATATTTCTTTTGTCAATTTCTGTGATCTAATTAAACTGGGGTGTTACCCTATTCTTTTTGTTAAAATATAAACCATCTCTGGGTCTCCTTATTTCTAATATATTTTATTATTAACAGTTGTGTAGCTCAAATACACTT